TGGGCAAGCATGGCCAAGTGCCCCAGGTCTGCTTGGTCGTACTTCCACAGCTTCCGTGCAAAACACCCTCTGCGGGGCACACTCACTGCGTAGGCAAGTTCGACAGCACTATGATCACTGCCGGGCTTACCGCTGGAGACCTCGCAGGATAAAAAACGTGTTGCATCCGACGTGAATACAAGGTCCAGGTAACTGGGTGTACCACTCCGGGTTGCATATGTTGGCTCCGTACAAATTTGGGCGAATCCAGCAGTCGTCACCACGTCAAGCAGAACATCATCAGTGTTGTCTCTAGGAATCGGCTCGTCTTGTGTGAGCCAATCAATGTGGCAATTGAAGTCGCCAATCACAAGGATGTTGGCATAGCTTTTCTGTGGTGCCGTCTGCAATGATCTTTCGAGCAGCCTGTACGATTCCTCGCGGCACGACGGCGGGCAATAGATACAACACACAAGTACGGTGCCCCGGGGAAGATGATACTCAACAAACAGTGCTTCCAGGTCCTGATGCTCAAGATCTGTTCGGCGGTGAACACGAAACTGTGCCGGAATCGCCATCATGACGCCGCCGCCAACGCCCTTTCTGTCCTTCCTGAAGATGGTGTAGGCGTTGAGGCTGAGTATCTCACCAACGGCTACGCTAGAATCCAACCAAGTCTCAGAGAGAAGGAAAGTTGTGTTTTCTGGAAATGATGCACAGTGTGATTGGAAGTCTTGCAATTTGTTTTTCAAGCTCCGACAGTTGTTATACCAGAAGTTTGCGGTCTTGTTAATGCTTGCCGGGCGTGTGATAGGCGTTGAAGTGCCAGAAAGCGCGGAATTGTCAAAAGAACGGCAGGCACCGCCGCCTCCAATGGAGGTGCCACGGGTTATCGCAGCGGCTTAGGCGTCTATACTCCTGGAGAGGCATATAAACACATCGTCGGTGGCACCAGCGGTCACACGAGTCGCAGCACAGGGCCGCTTGGTGATCAAACACACGCTTGTCGCAGCGCGTACAGGCCGGTGCAGGAGGGCCGGGATTGGCAGCAACGTCCCCACTAAGGAGTAGGGGCGGGCTGTGCGACAGCGATGAGAGCAGCAGAAACACTTTGCTGGCGGTACGGGCGGTGAAGCGGCGACGTACCGGGTCCGTTGCTGTTGTTGGGAGGCTTAAGCCTTGCAGGCTGAGTAGAGGCCAACGTTGTAGCGGCGCTGGGACAGTTGAGCACGGGACGAAGGCACCACAAACGCGGCGTCCAACTGCGGGAGCATGGTGCATGCGAATACAGGGACAGCACGATGGTGCATAAGAACGGGAGTATCACCGCTGTAAAGCGAAATTGTCCGGAGCAGCCGCGGCGCAGTTCTCTGCCGACCGCCATTTTTTTTTTCCAGTATCGCCTAGGAAGACCACACGTCAAATATTACGACGCAGTTCTGTCTAAATGTTTCTTAAACGGTCCGGCAAACTTTACAACTCGCCAAGTTGCCGAAATCGGCTGACTCGAGCGGGCGAATTCAGGCGCAACCAACAGCGCAGTCAAGGCTACGGCATGTGCGGAGCCAACATTGAGCTAAACGTCATCACCATGGCCCCCTTTTGCTTGTTTTTACTTCTCCGATCGAGCGTAGCGAATGACGTCAGCAACGTTGCCTCTCGGCGCTCAGCGGTGTCCACGTGATTGGCGTACGCGCCTGCGCAGCGCGCTTCTTGGGAGCAGACCAACCGCCCGCCGTGGTCCCGCCTTTACCGCCGTCTTCCGCGTCACAACCACCGTCGTCGTCTCACCGTTTGTGATTATTGCCTCTCGGAGTTTCGTCCACACTATGGACACCACGTGCGCAGAGTCGCAGACTTATGCCGCAGTCGTGCAGACATCGTCGAATGCCGTAGACACCAAACGTGGCGAAGTGTGCGATGCAGACGACACTCGCGCCTGCCGCACGCGGCACGTCCGTCCCCATCCCGCCCGTCGTTGGGCCGAGGATCACGTGACATCTCGTACCACGTGATGGCCATGTACTTGGCGGCCCGAGGCCAATGTTGCCGGACGGAGCCGAAGTTTCGGTTTCGATTTCCGCTCGTGTTTAAAATTAGATTTAAAAATATATATCCCATTTTTCGCGAAGCAAACGACGTAGTGTCTTTTACTAGGGCTTTTTAATTCGAAATCACTCATTATCCCGTATTCTTCGGAATTGAGCGGAGTTGCCCTTTAAAAACCGGAAGTGGTTGGGGCTATTTGCACACTGGCGCTACCACGTTTGAACTTGCGTGAGAAAGAGCAAAATACTGCAGCCAAAGCTACGGCTGCGAGCTTGCGAGCTAGTCCGCGCTCCTGGCTTTGAAAGGTGCGTTTCTAGCGCGAGTGCTCGTTCTGCGGAAGAACGCTTCAGAGCAGCGACCTCAAGCTCTCGTGCTCGTGGCATTGGCACTGTACGGGCCGCTTTTCTGAGCCCAAGCCCGGCCCGGGCCCGGCGTCATGGTAATTTGCCCTCCCGAGTCCGGTCCAGCTTTTTGAAACCGGGCCTAAGCCGGGCCCGAGCCCAAACGATTTGTATGTTACGCGGCCCGGCCCGCCACCTTTTAAAACAGGCTTGGGCCGGGCCCGGGCCCAAATTCGATGTCATTTTATCACTAACGTAATTTTAGGCACTTAATTCCACCGTTGGAGGCGGGTTGCTGGTATACACAACTTTTTTCCTTGTATGTCAGTACCTGACGGAGCTACTAATTATGATGTAAATTTAACTAGGCTATGTCTAATTGCGATACCAAAGAGTGAGATTAGCCTTATAAATAATAAATAACCAAAGGTGGTATAGGATTAATTCATTGGCTTATAGAGATAAGCAACAAACAACCACTCCAACCTCGATATATATATATATATATATATATATATATATATATATATATATATATATATATATATATATTTAGCACGAGTTGAACGGCACATCACAAAAAGTCAGATGAATTAATTCCACACTAAAGTTGTTCACAAGCAGCTTTCTACAAAAAAAGAAAAAAAAACATTACGGTATTTTTTACGGGTTGACCGAGGAACCAATTGTAAAAGTGAACTTCCGACAAACATTGTAGTTGCGAAATAATAATAAAAAAAAAAAAAAAAAAACTTACGGTTTTTGTGTAAGACGAAAGGTTATCCAATCTAACTGGTTTTAAGCACGTTCTTCTCTCTTGAATACTAGTAACCCGTGGCGCTTAAGTTCTTTTCACGGCTGGCACTTGTTGCAGGAATACATAGACGATAGAACCTTGGCAAGAAAAGAAACACACGGACACTTTTTGCTCTGAGACTCCTACCGTTTCAGACTACCGCATGCAGGGGCTCTGCCGCAGGTAATCGCGAGAACTTAGCTCTGCGAGGATGAGACACGTGAAAAGTTATGGCCAGTTTCGTCTGAGCGGACTGGGGACGCCGGATTTGGTTCCTGATAGAGTTGCTGTTGCTGAGCGTTGCGTTAGGTGTTTTTTCGCAATGCGTATGAAGCAGTTGTGATGGCGGCGTGCTCAGCCCCTCAATTTGAGCATAGAAGGCCACGCTATCTAACTTGTGTTGAGTGTTGTGATGGCCAAGAAGCACGACGCAAAATATTTTAGAGGCCGACATGCTGCACTTCGGGAGCAAGAAGTACGATATATGTGTCGGCTTGTGATGCAGTCAAGCCATATCGAAATTATCGTATCATCGTGCTTTCCATGTATAAGTCCATCGATCTACAGAGTGCCGTGCTTTCTCCGAAAATAAATTATGACTGCGTACGTAATCGTGTTTCATTTCTCTCGCCACCCAGACGAAGTTCTACGTTAATATATGCAGCGTTACGTAAAGCTATGCTCGTGTTTTCTTTGTCGCCAAGACAAGTTGAACGGCATTAACAAAACTGAGATGAACTAGTTCTACACTGAAATTGCGCGGTGAAACCAGACCTCCTATTTACACTCGTTGGCGGGCGTGGATCGGGCTCGGCCCGCAGCCCCGAGCCCGATCCAGGCCCGCCAATTGGTGCTGGCCCGAGCCCGGCCGTGGCCCGCAGTCAAGAGCCCGGGCCCGTTCCAGGCCCTCCAAAAAAACTGCCTCACTCGGCCAGGCCCAATCCGGCGCGGGCGTGGCCGGGCCCGGGCTTTAGGGCAAGCCCGAGCCCGTGTAGTGCTCTACGCCGAGCTCTAGTTAGAATGTTTAGTAGATAGCCTTTGTATCTACAATATGGTGCCTGGAGCGCGTCTTCGACGGTGTGTTTAGAGTCCTCTTCTATATACAGGGTGTTACAAAAAAAAACATATTTTTACAGCTTTATTTTTTATTGCAAAAATAAACTACGCCTCACCTAACGCTCATTCCCCGCCCAAAGGTAGCGCCAGAGGTCAAAACGAGATGCCAACGTTTCAGCCCGATCCGATAACTTAATCGTTAAAAGTGATTTTCTGAAAAGTTCAATGGGAAAATGGAGCCCATTTTTGTCAGTTTTCGGTTTCTGGTGCCCATAGAGCCCCATGTATTCGAAAACTCCGTCGGCCGCCATTTTCCCATTGATCTTTTTAGAAAATCACTTATAACTTTTGAATAAGCTTTCGGATCGGGCTGAAACTTTGACACCTGGTTGTGACATCTAGCCCTGCCTTTGGGCGGAGAATGAGTGTTCGGCAATGCCTAGTTTATTTTTGCGGTAAAAAAGAAACCTGCATTTTTTTTGTGACACCCTGTATATTTAACATTTGACTAAATACCCTGATACTGGGACGAGAAGGGACGGACAAACACAAAGTCTCAAACACAACTCAAATTTATTCGACAAAAATTGGCTTGCTCTTTATGTTTACAGCCTTGATGGAGATGCGCCTCAACGGGTAATCGGTCTCTTAGCTATAGATGAGAAATTTAGCCAGTGCGGTACAACCGCTAACCTGGGATTTTTAACGTGCATCACGCAGTAGTGATCACACGAACGCGTGCCGGTACGAAACTCATCCAGATCGAAACGGGCGGGGGCGGCGGGGATCGAACCCAGGAGGTTCCCAGCGCAAGCTTTCGCTCCACGCTCCGAGCTGAGACGCGTTAGCCCATTCGGCCACTTCCTCCCCTTATTTATTCGACAACGGAATGGCTTATACAGGTATCAAATCCTACACAAAACACTAGAGAGGAGAGAGAAAAAGAAAAATGGGGATTCCCCGTTTCTTTCTCTCGTCTCTAGCTCGAGATCGGATTCAATGATTGCGGCCAAGGGCCGTCTCGGAGTTGCAAAACGCCAGCATAAGATGGCGCCACCTTTCGAATCAAACTTCATTGCCCAGTGGGTATCTGTATATCGCCACAAACGCCACCCCCGTAAATCCTCACTTTGGCGGTGGTGGCGCCGTCGCGACCGCCTGTAGTCTCTCCCGAAATCCTCACTGTGACGTTGGTGGCGCCATCGCGACCGCCTGTAGTCTCTCCCCAAATCATCACTTTGGCGGTGGTGGCGCCATCGCGACCGCATGTAGTCTCTCCCGACATCCTCACTGTGGCGTTGGTGGCGCCCTCTCCACCCCCTCTGGGCTCTCCAGGTATCTCCCTCAGCGCCTACCGAACGAACTGACGCTGCCTCCGACATTTGACCTTGAATATATGTAGGTGTCGTCAACGATGGCATTATCGATGGCAGTTGAACCACCCAAGGATTGGCGAAACTGAAGCGAAGGGTTTTCTTCTCCGTCGACGCGTCAGAAGATATATCGTTGAACGTGCAGAAGGGCCAGATGAGCACTTCTTTGTGGTGTTCATAGGCTGAGTACAAGCTGATGTCTCTCACAAGTTCTTGAGGAACGCGTTCTAGCGTGAGGAGATACTGACCAAACTTGCTAGCCTGATCACTCGACACACTTGCCGACACAAATTGCACAAATGGAACCGTAGGACCGGTATTGCGATAGAACTTGACACCCCGAAAGAAGGTCCCTTTAGGGGCAGAGAACGGGGAGAACGGCGGCAACTTCTCGAATGCACGAATGAGAAAATACCAAAGACTCTTGTACGGAAAGGCGTTCCAGCTCGCTTCGGTTGCACTAGCACGGCGGCAGTAGTCATTGAACCTTTGCCACACATTTGTCTTGAGCGTGTAACATATAATGGCCACGTAGCACTCTTTCTCCGAAAGGTTCCAGGAATGAGACTTGTGGCGCACACGTTTCGTCTCGTACCGTTTCTCGGCTTCTTCCCATGCTTGTCCATAAGTTGGGTTGATCTTACATGCACATTCTTTCGAGCGAATTTCGTTCGCCTTATCCAAGCTCAACTGTTTTGCTGCTTGAAAGTAGTAGCGAAGTCCACTGTGGGAATCATCACAACCAAAATCCATAATCGTTTGTCGGCCTGACTCAACGCTTACACCAAGTGGCCACAGCCGACACGAGGCGTCACATTTATGAACGTATCTAAACGTCGCAGAGTTTCGTTTGCATGCGATAGTGAGATATCTGTTGCCACGGGAAGCAGACGGAACGTTAAAGGGAGGAGCAGGTTTCCCCCTCTCTTCTCCAGCGTTCCGTCTGCTCCCTCTTCCCCGGCCTTCCGTTCCTTCGCCCTCAACACGGTAGCGCTGCCAACGTTGCGGAGCTACTAAACCAACGCTTCTTTTTGCGCCTGTAGGTCGTGCGGCTGCGGATGTGACGTATTTTCGTGACGTCGCGCCGCTTCTTCGCTCCTTCCGAGCGCGCACAAGAAAGTTGGATGATTTCAACTTCTTCTCAACGCGCACAAAAACGCGCGGTGACGTAGTAGGGCGCTCCTGTGTCCCGGCCAATCGGTGGAGGGCAAGCTAGTTCCGGCTCCGCGTTTCTCGCCGTCTGGCTGCCCTCTCCTCCCCCCCTCCCCCCCTTTTATTCTCTTCCAACATGACAACGCGATCTCTCTCTCTCTCTTTCTCTCGCCGTCTGGCCGGCCAGTCTGTCGCAGTTGTACTTTGCTTGTGCGCTCGTGCCTGCGTGCGCGCGTGTGCGCTTGCCCGAAGTTTCGCCCGTTCAAACCAAAGCGCACGGTTCTGACTCAGAAAGCGCGCCCGGAAACAGCAAAAACGCCACGAAATGCGTCACATCCGCAGCCGCACGACCTACAGGCGCAAAAAGAAGCATTGGTTTGGATCGCGCTTAACTCTCCTCACGTTCGCACTGTTGCGTTTGACTGGAATAGTTACGGGGTATATTCGTGCTTCGTACGCCGCGTGGAAAGCTGCTTTTTGAATGTCCCGTCGTCAATACCCTGCAGCGTTGTGAAACGTATAGTCAAAGTCAAATGCTATACTACAGAATAGACCTTTACATCGTATATCGTTATACTTAGATTTATTTCCGGAATTAATTAGAGCTAGCGCATTCAATGACGACAATCCCCTGGTATCGGGACACAATTATTCGGTAATAGGCTCAACCGAAAGCTCCGAATATCATCGGAGGACATCTGTATCGCGCACGGTATACGACAAGACAACTGCGGCTGCAATATCTTGAAACTTCATCGCTTTCCAATTGACCCAATACTCCGGCGGCAGTGGGTTGCGTCCGTAAACGGAATCTACTTTTCCTCGAAGCCATCCTCTCGAGTGTGCTCGGAACATTTCGTGAATAGTGCACTCACCGAACTTACCGCTGTACTGGCGATGAACATGGGCTACGCTCGCAAGGTGTGTAAAACTTTTTCTCGTAAGAGCAAAAGTGTTACCCACCTTGCGAGGACACACTCGTCGACACAGGATTCTAAATTAAAACTTTTATAAACATCTGCCCTCGATCGCTTACTGCAATGCTCTTATTTCGGGCGTCTTTGTTCACATTATATATCATTGTTGTGGACGACACGGATTCGCCAAAGATATTCTCGGTGTACTGCATCTAAAACGCCAAAAAGCTGAAGAGAAATTCAATCGCTGTAAACTGATACAATATTTTAAGTACTTACGTCCGATTTCTATCGGTGGCGCGTTCACCTATAGTGCTGCTCTTCTCGGCATCGCCGCACTGGCGGATACCATAGGGCGGGGCAAAAAACATTCCCAATGAGTTGAAAAACGCCGTCCGCGGCACACAATAACACAAAACGTGCCCAAGTCGGATACCCAGCCCTTTGGAGCACCCAACGAGCACACCCAACGCGGGAGCGGCGCCCCGAAGAGCACTTTCGCCAACGTTTCGAACCTCAGCATGGCCGCGGAACCTGACGCTAGCTAGATGGCGTTACAGTGTTAAAAGTGGCGCTTCCCACGATAAAACGGTCTATACGCAGATTCATGATGTGCACGCGCACTCGTCCTTTCTTCAGATATGCCACAGAAAGTTGTCTCCGAGTGTATAGCTCGGCTGATTTACGATAGAACTCAAGACAGAAGTTTACAGGCAGATTAATTTAAACCCTAAAAATGGTCCGCAAGAAAAAAAAAATGAAGATTAAATGTTTAGACAGCGTGACCTTGGACACAGCACAGTATGGCGTGACACTATTATCTCGCTGTAGATGAGGAATTTAGTTAGTGAAGTACGATTGCTAACTTGGGTTTTAACGTGCATCACGCAGTACACAGCACATTTTGTTTACACCCTCGTGGGTTTAAATAAATCAGCTCGTCTCAGGAGTAACACCCTAAAAATAGGGTGCTGGCGATCATACAGCATTCAGATATATGTTTTACGGAAAACAGATTTACATGCAACACGCACCGCATCAGCTGTCAGATGGACAGAAACCTTCAATACCGGCACAAAAACAAAATCAAGTTCTCGTGATATCGCATTGTGGTTTACCACAGAAAAGCGGGTGGAAGGTGTGGCCTTTTTTTTTACAGCGGGGCTGTTAAGGGCTAGTTTCCCCAGGGTCATGTCTCCCGCAAAAAGAGTGTCGACACAAAACTCTGGTTGCCGCCGTCGCTCATAGATGGCGATAGGTCATCATTTTATCATCATTTATTAAACCTTGAAGGCCATTGCTGGCATTACACAAGGTGGGAGTAACTGCTGAAGAAACATTATATAAAGGAACAAACAAAAAAGTAGGTTACATGCTAGAAAACATTGTTATATAAAGCAGCAAAAACAGGAAAAAAACACTTAAAACATTTTTAGGGAAAAACAGCTGATGAAACAGAAAAATACCCAAATAAAACATTTCTATAAACAAGAGTTGACTTTGCTATTAGTGCAAATGCAGATGGACGGTCAGTTGGGATATGAATGTATTATAATCTGTCTGGGTCACGATACTGTTAGGCAGGCTATTCCAGTCCGTTATTCTGAATGGCAAGGTGGAGTTAAGAAACGAAACTAGGGAGTTTTAGCGAGTCATTTTTCAAGCACACGGTTCCGAAATCACGAACGGTACAGCTGGTCCGTATCGTGAAACCGTACCTCAAATTCGACATACTTTAGCTAATCGTGAAAGTGGCGCGACCGTGTAAACGATGATGATGATTGGGCTTAATGGTGGCGCCATCTTCTAGTAAACATGTGAAACATTCTGCAACGTGTAAATCCGTGGCGGCTCGTGTTTCCGGCGTACGACTGATGTAAACAAGACGGCCGACGTAACATTTGCCGGTCGGAATTTCAAGAACTGCGAAGCTAGATCGAGTAAAAAGTGTCTGAACGACCGTAAAGGTATGTGGTGTCTCTGCCTCATCTTGAACTTGAACGATCGTTCACGTTGTGTGCCGTCGAACCAAATCATTTCGTCTGCTCGCGGTCGCCACGGCAGCTAGTCTGCCCGCAGATCGCAAACATTTACTAGCATGCGCAGTTTACAGCATTCACGATCGCTTACCATTGTGAGCAGTCCTCGAAATGATTTGGTTCAACCTCTCAAATGAAGCAGACTAACAGGATGGCAAATCGCCTCCCGCTGTCCTAAGCCTAACGCCCGGCTCGGTCGGCGAAGGCGGTCGCCGAACCGACCGCCATCTTTGTTTTTACCCGAGTCGTGAACCGTGAACCAACGTTACTAAAACACTCAGTTGGGAAACTCGCCGTCGAAACCTGGGCCGCTGGCGTCCACCCAGACCGAGCTAAATGCGACAACAGCGCCACTCTTTTTCGTTTGTCTGTACTATGGTCACCTTGAGCTTTTTGAAAGCCTGTTTTTGCGTAAAAACAAACGGAAAAGACTCTTTTTGTATGAAATTTATTGGAGTTTAGTACCAAATGATTGGCGCGTGAGTTTTTTTATCATCTTTAGTTCACAAGGTTCTGCGGAACAATTAATATTGTTTTTATACAACCATGCCTCAGCGGGCCTTTCAGGTAGCGCGTCCAGACCTAGGTGCATTTTAACTTCGGATGTTGAACGCGGCGCGTCCGCCGGGGAGACGGGGGTTGGCTTGTCGTCGGGTTGCGGTCGCTCGTTCGTGCGAAGCGTCTCTAGTTTTGCACGCGCCCAGGGACCTCAATTTATTTGTGGTCCCCGGGGTTCGAAGCCTCCGCCATGTCGACACCTACGAAGGCACAGTGTTTCTCCTTTAATGTTCCGGCGGACACTCCGGTAGATGCCATCATGGACAGCATTCAAGCCGTCGCCGGCGGGGATGGTCTGTCGTACCTGCAACACCACGGTGGAGCAAGGTTCATGGCAGCGGTCAGCACCATGGCCGCCGCACAACGACTTGTAGCGCAAGGTTTCTTGTCGCTGGGTAACGTGGAAGTCCCCCTGGAGCCAGTGGGAGCCCACGTTGTGTTTGTCTCGGTGTACCGCCTTCCCCCGTACGTGTTGGAGGAGGCACTGGTGCAAGTCCTCGCACAGTACGGCAAGGTGAAGGCGATCAACCACGTCACGTTTCGAGACCGCCCGGACGTCAGGACCGGCACCCGGGTGGTCAAGATGGAGATGTCGAAGCCGGTCCCCAACTTCGTCCACATCCAGGGACACCGGGTGATGGTGGACTACCGTGGTCTGCGACGCGTCTGCAGCCGGTGCGGGCTGGAAGGCCACATCGGACCCGCCTGCAAGACCCCACGTTGCGACAGATGTGGCGTTTTTGGGCATGCGACGGCAGGTTGCACGGCTCCTTGCCAGCGGTGCGGCCACGGCCACGCGACCACGGACTGCGTCCAGCGAAAGTCGTATGCCGCCGCCGCCAAGCAACCCAGGGAGGACCGTCCACGCACTTCGCAGCGAGTTGTCGACACCGTCTCCGACCCAGCCCCCCAGCTTTCCGGTGACGACTCGGACCCGTCCATCCGCCCGCGGACCCCACCACCTCCCCCTGTTGTCTCGGATTCCGACGCTTTGTCGAACGCCGGAGTTTCCGACAGCCAAGCTTCGGGCGCTCCATCGAACGCGGCCGCCCCTACCGACGGCCAAACTTCGGACATTCCGTGGAACGCGGACGCCAACCCCGGCAGCCAAGCGTCGCGCGTTTCATCGAACGCGGCCAGCAGCCAAGC